GGTGTACAGAGCACCTTAGAGAAGTTTTATGAATTATCATGCCTTAAGTTGAATGCACTGAAGACTGGATTTTTCGCTTGTGGCTTGAATGAGAGTACTCTTAATCTGATACAATTAGTTACTGGGTTTAGGGTGGCACAGCTCCCTGTTAGATATCTTGGGGTGCCCCTAGTAACTCGTAAACTCACTGTGAATGATTGTGATGCTCTATTGGTGAGAATCAAAGACAAACTAAGTCAATGGTCCAACAAGAACCTTAGCTTTGGGGGTAGGCTACAGCTTGTTAAAATTGTCTTGTTTAACATATTTAATTATTGGAGCAGGCAACTCATTCTCTCCAAGGGGATCATTAAGGACATTGAGAGGCTTTGCATGCGTTTTTTCTGGAAAGGTAGTAACACCTCAGCCAGAGGAGCTCGTGTAGGCTAGAACCAGATTTACTCACTAAAGTCTGAGGGTGGTATGGGACTTAGAGATCTTGCTCTATGGAGTAAAGCCTGTTGCTTATTGCTAATAAAGAATATTATGGGTGGTTGATTGTAAAGCCCACTTTAGTTGGATTTTAAAAAAGCTGTTGAGGCTTCGAGAGGTGGTTAGGAGACTGTTTTTTCCTTGTGCTAATTGGGGCCTAATTAAAAGCAAATGGATATGGGATAATATTAGAGTCAGAAAAGAGAAGGTAAGTTGGCACAAAATTACTTGGTTTCTTGCTCATATACCTAAGTTCTTCCTTATTTCGTGGATGGCCATCATCGATAGGTTGCCTACTAAAGATAGGTTGGTTTGGTTTGGCTTGATTATGGAAAATGGTTGTGTTGTGTGTGGTACTGGATTGGAATCCAGTGACCATCTTTTTGCAAATTGTTCCTATGCTAAGGAAGTCCGTGGTGTTGTTTTAGCTTCTTGTGGGATTCGATATGACTCGTTTAGCTGGGATGAACGACTCGATTGGCTGATTGAGAACTTGAAGGGAAAATCTATTCGAGTGCGGATTCTTAAGCTCGCTTGGATTGGTTTTCATTATTACATTTGGAGGAGTGTAATCACAAGAATTTTAGGGGGTTAACACGTTCAGTTGATATAATTGTGAATAGGATAGAGGAGGTTGTGAAATACAAATTGTATAGTCATTGCATACATAGGATAAATGATGTAAATAGGCACTTGTGCCTAAGCCGGGGCATGATCTAGTGTTGAAAGCTTGTTTGATTTTGTTGCAGCTAAACTGCATTCTTTTGGATGAATATAAATTACTTATCCAAAAAAAATATTGGTCACCACATATCCTTAACTCATTAAAAAAATTTATTTGATTTTGTTTAATTACCAAATAATTTTCAAGTACTAGAATTATATTAAAATTTAATTTTATTAGTAATGAGAATATAAATTATTATTAACAAGTTATTATTCTATTAATTTTATTAAAATAATATATAAGAAATAAAATATAAAAAATGAAAAATTACACATGATATATATTTTTACTAACAATTTTTTTAACAAACGTAATAAATCAATTAAAAAATGATAGAGTAATGAGAGAATTGAGAATGTTGAGAAAGGTGTGCAATTGGGAAGCAGCAAAGCTGCAAAAACTGCAGAAAATGGAAACACATCTCACAGTTTAGTATCAAATTTCGACTTGTTATCGTACTTTGAGAAAGCCAAAGGCCAAAGCCACAATCAACTTTGCCACAAAAAATATAAATTTTATTATTATTATATGAAAAATACGAAATATGAATTATAAGCAAGTATTCGTCCCTTTCATCATTATATAATGTCTATATACATCCACCTCTCTCCATAATGTTAATTTAAAAAAAAACAAAAACAAATCTTTTATTTTTAAGACCTTATAAAATATATTTTCAAAATTAAAATATTAAATTCATTTTATTTGTTGATTTTTTACAAGTGATATATGTAAGGTTTTTTCAATAATGATATACGTTCACTTTAAATTTTGATTTTCTTTATTAATTATTCATTTTAATTTATCTCATACAAAATTTTTTTATTATTAATATATATGTGTCTACTTAAACATTTTTAGATATGTGACTACTTTTAATATATATATATATATATATATATCTTAAATTTAATTTTAATCATATCTAAAAGGAAAGTAAAGAGAATATTCTAGAAGAAGGAAAGAAAATAGTTGAAACGAAAAAATTTAGGACCTTAAGAGAATAAAGAGAAATAGTGAAATATATATATTCATATTTGTGGTTTGACGTATGGTTTGCTTGGCTTTTGCCTTCATCGCAATATTAGTAGGGGCCACGTTACCGTTATGATTAATCTCCCTCCACTTATAATATAAGTTTATTCAAAGAACGCAACTCTACTCATTTATATGGTTTAGGGGTAAAGGAAAGATAAAATTACTTTTTTGCCCTATTAAAAACAAATCAAATTTTAATTATTAATGGTTGGTTTTGACATTATTTGCAATTACACATCTACCCTTTTATATATCAAGTTTATTTTAGCAAAGACTCTCTACTTATTTAATAATTATTATATTGCACGAATCATGGTATCGATGGTAAAATAATTATTGTTATTTTTTGATATCCTAAGTTGGAGCACCAGAAATACCAGAGATACGATCATTTAATATCAAATTATTGAGAGTTATATTTTAATAGAATATTATCTTATACTTACCCTATATTACAATAATAATAATAATTATTATTATATTTGTCGTGAAAGCTACCGTTTCCCATCCTTCTATTTTTCCTATATCGTCTTGTACGCTAAGAATCAAATCCAATATTTATTATAACAAAAAATAAAATTAATATTTTTCGTAGAAACTTAAGAAATAAAAAATAATATTTAAAATATCGATTTCTCGTGCGACTATTTTTATATTTTTTAATCATAGATAATAATACCAGCTCTGAACTAATTGTTGATCGTTAATATTTTTTATATTTTTCATAATTTATTTACTTAGTAAAATTATTTATTATTATTAATTAAAAAAATCTCAAAATATAAGTCAAAACAAGTTTTGGAATTTTAATCATTTAAACAAAAACAAAATGCTAAAATTTAAAGAAAAAAGGAAAATGATCTTCAAGGACAAAATTTGTTTCCATGTCATTTTCAATTCCATTATCCTTGTAACAAGTCATGAAACATTCCCTTCAAGTCAATAACGTCAAGTTTTGTGCAAGCGAGGGCAAATGTGTTCACCAACTTACCGCAAAAAACGACCACAAAATAAAACACTTAATATTTCATGGCTCATTTTTTTTAATAAGTTTTAAATTTAATCATAATCTTACCAGGAGGATAGGAGAAAGAAGAGAAGTGTTCTCAGTGGGTTTAGAACTCATAAATTAAGAGAATACAAGAAAACAAAGATAAATAATTTGACCAACCGATTAAATGTGAATACTCATAATTATTTTTTGCTTTATTAAATTTTGGTCTGAGATCATGAGAGTTCTCTAATTAATCTATCTAAATCGATGCTTATTTCACTTTGTTATTGTCTGATAACAAGTATTTTATTTTTATACATGGTTTAAAAGTTGGAAAATTCACGTTTGAAAGTATTGAAACTCATATTTTTTTTTGAATTTTTTGAGTGATCTTAGTGATATAAAAGAATGTTGTTATCTCTAGAGGATAGGGTCAAGCTCGGATTTAGAGATAAAATATCTAACTCGACTCGATAATAATAGTATAATTGACTTTTATATATTTAAAAATAATTACTATAATACCCTTATATATATTTTTCAATTATGTCTCTATTTTGCTCAATGAGAATGAGATTTTTTTAATAATAAAATTGTGTTGAATGAGCATTTTTACTTAAAAGTCATATTGAATTCGGGTTAAAGAAAATTACTTTAAATTTGAATCAAGTTGAATGACAAACTAAAAAATATCATACTTGAATCGAATTTAGATGAATAAAAAATCTGATATGACATATGATCATCCAAGTAGCTACCTACCAAAGAGTAATCAATGAAAGTTGCATGTGGTAAGTGGTTAATTTGCATCAAAGGGAAGAAAAAAGTATTAATTCCTTTAAGTAAAGAAAAGTATTGAATTCGATGACTGTAACAAAAAAAGGGGAAGGAAGAATACCCAGAGAGATTGATTAGGGGATCTAATAAGATTTTGTTCCTTTTATTTGAATTATTTGTTTATGGAAAGTGTTTTATTTGCATAATATATTCATTTTTTGTACGAGATAAATCCAAATCAAAACTTTTGATATTTTTGTCTTAATAATTAAATGATATTAACATTTTTAACTCAGGATTTGAATCGTATTCTTCCGTAAATTATTTTTTTTAAAGAATTTACAATATTTTTATATATACTTGGGACAAAAGCATTGATTTACTTCAATCAAGTTAGTTATTCTCTCTACCTACCTATATAAATATTTTTTTTCCAAATATTATTTTTCAATATACCATATTTGAAAACTACGTAAATTCATAATATAATTAATAAATTTTTTTTTGTACATGTAAGAATTAAAATATATTTTCTATAGAACCAGAAAAGGGCATAAAAGGACTTTAATAAAAATAAAAAAAAAGAAAAGGGACTAGTAACGGTAATTTTATCCAGATTTCCGCCCCGACCCTGTCCGAATCCTTTGTTTTTATCCCTATTCGGTTCACGTCCCTCCACTAACACACCTGCATCTCCATTTTCTTCCAAGAACTTCCCTTTAGTTATTTCGACAAATCTCCATCAGATCCCAACTGTGTTTTCTTTTTCTTCTTAGTTTTGATGAAACCCAAAGCAGAAACAGAAAAGAAAATGAAGCAGAAGCTCAGTTGTTTCTCCCCAAAACAACTTTGACAGCTTTTATTTGTTTGTTCAAAGCTTTGTTTCTCCAACAAGCTTAATCTATTTTGTTTCGTTTTTAAAAGCTTAGATTTTTGGGTATTTTGTTGCAGTTGTTCTGTTTCTTTTAACAAAAAATCGAGACGGTTTCTTTCTTTTTCCCCGATTCACTTCAAAACGTATGACGTTTCGATCTTATTTGTCAAAAGTTTTCAGAGCGAGTTTAGCGAAGAAATTAGTTTGAATTTCTAAGGAAAAGTTTATTTTTTTGTCCTCCCCCGAAAACGATGTTATCGGCGTCGCCTACGACTTTAGCGAAAAGCTCGCTTGAAGAAATGCTGGAGACTCTCCAGCGGCAAGATGAGGACGAGAGGCCTAAAGACTTACCGCCCGCTTTACCGTCGCGGCCAACGTCCAAGGCAAGACTTCCCTCGGCCCGCCGGTCGCTTCCGACGAACTTCAAAGTCGTTTCTAACGGCGAAAACGGTTGTGGCTGTGGCGGATTTAGTGAAGTTGAAGGGAAAGAGGAAGGTAAAAGAAAGGAAGAGGAGTTGGGAGAGAAGATAGATGTTTTTGGGAGCAAAAAACTGAGGAGAGTTGTGAATGTGGATTCACCTTATTATTTGGAGGCAGTGGAAGGGATGAAAGGGGAAGATAAGGTTTCTGATGCCAAAGCTGAGGTTAAGGAAATAGGGAAAGGGAAGTCGAACTTAAAGGTAAAGTTAAATGTTAAGTTGATATTGTTTCTTCTTCTTCTTCTTGGTTGATTTGTTTTATGAGTTTGGTACCCAACTATCCATGTTTTAATACCATCTAAGAAGCATTGAAAGATGCCGGGGGAGATTTGAAGAAAAAAATAGTTCTGTAACTTTTGTTTAACTTTGATCGATTTTGATTATAACTATTTCTTACTGTTGATATTGTCTTACTCTGTAAACGATTAAGCTTTTTGTTTAGCATGCTTACAAAGGGATCTTATTAGCCCTTTTTGAGTTGATGCAATGCACTAGATTGTTAGTCATGGGGGGAAATCTGTTATCTTTTATGGACTTGAGAACCTGCAGAGTAGTTTAGCCTTTGTTACGAAATTTAGACTACCACTTTAGTTCTCTTTTGCTGAAACATTGAAAAGGAAGGATCACCTTGGGCATTTGTTTATCTTCTGTGAAAATGGTTTAAGTAAATTGAATTTATCGTGAGTGGTTTTGGTTGCAGAAGCGTCGTGTATGGTACCGGCAATCCAATGGGGTGTGGGAATCTGGAGCTATACAATCTACATCAGGGGAGGAATCATTTGTATGCCTTTCTAATGGAAATGTAAGTTCATATGTGTCTTGACTTTTTAAATTGTTGATGAGCCTTCGGTTTTCCTTTAAGCAAGTTTTCATTTTGATTTACATTGTATTGTTGGTATAGGTTGTAAAGGCATCAACCAGCGAGCTTTTACCTGCAAACCCAGAAATTTTGAATGGTGTTAATGATTTAATACAGCTTAGTTATTTGAATGAGCCGTCAGTTCTTCACAATCTTAAGTACAGATATGCTCGTGATGTGATATACGTAAGAAAGATATAATACTTACTCGAGCACTAGTTAGGACTATTTCTGCTACCGAGCTTCATTTATACATTTTTTTCTTTTATGTAGAGTAAAGCTGGTCCAGTTTTGATAGCAATCAACCCGTACAAAGAAATCCAAACTTATGGAAAAGATTTTGTCACAAGTTATAGAGAGAAAGCTACAGACAGCCCTCATGTTTTTGCTATAGCAGACACTGCTTATAAGGAGATGATGAATGGTGAATGAAGTCATTCTTTTCTTTCCTTTCTGAAGTTTGCATAAACAACTGACAATTTGCTTGTGGTGATGCGTTTTCTGATGCTCTATTAATTCTGTTAAAATTCTGCAGGTGGAATCAATCAATCTATAATCATAAGGTAAGTTTGATATTTAATATTGGTCTTAATATATGATAGTATAATACCATGTTCTCTAAGCAAATTATTTGTTTTATGACCTATAGAATTAACTAAAGTTATCTTGCAGTGGGGAAAGTGGAGCTGGGAAAACTGAAACAGCAAAATTTGCAATGCAGTACCTAGCTGCTCTTGGAGGTGGCAATGGCGGGATAGAGTCTAAAATCCTTGAGGCGCATTGTATGCTTGAAACATTTGGGAATGCAAAAACATCTAGGAATGACAATTCTAGTCGATTTGTGAGTTATTCTTTCTCCCCCTAGTTCATTTTCTTACTGCTATATATTGAAGGCAAATCTATATAAAATTACTCTCATGGTTAAAGAATCCTTGCTGATATTACCCTAGAGGACCAATATCCACTTTGGCATGTGTATCACATTTGCTATAGGTTTGAAAAATATGACTTATTTATTACTCTGTTCTGGTGCAGGGCAAACTTACTGAAATTCATTTTACCGAATTGGGGAAGATATCTGGCGCCAACATCCAAACTTGTAAGCATGTTGAATTTGGAAATTTTCTATTATTACTTGCAGTAATAAAATTACATAGATTAATCCTGGTCACTGACTTTATTTTTGTGCTAATGTTGATTCATCAATGACAATCCTGGATAGTTCTTCTGGAAAAGGTAAGTTCCTGACCTAGTTAAACTTTATATTATCTGTCATCATGTATGGCATCTGATGTGGATGTTTTTGTTGTCACCTTTGAGCAGTCGAGAGTAGTACAGGTGGCTGCTGGTGAACGGTCTTACCATATCTTTTATCAACTTTGTGCGGGTGCTCCACCAGCCCTAAGAGGTAATATTTCATTTTATAGCATTTCGCAGTCCATGCTATTTTAGAAAAGTTTTGGGGTCTGGGAAGTAGACACATGATATTGTTTAAAGTTTTGCATCTTATTTACTTGAATCTGTGAAATATATTTATGATCATTCGAATTGTGGCTTTGCAGAGAGACTGAATCTTAAAATGGCTAATGAGTACAACTATCTTATCCAGAGTGACAACTTGGTGATTAATGGTGTTGATGATGCACTGAAATTCCATAAGCTTGTGGTAATTCAAAAGACTAGATTTTAATGTCGCCATTATAGTGTAGCCATTCTTTTACCGTTTGATTTCTGTCACATTGGTTTTTAAGCGAAAGTTTGCCCATTACTGCAGGAAGCCATGAACATTGTTCAAATTTGCAAAGAACAGCAAGAGCAAGCTTTTGCAATGCTTGCTGCAGTTTTATGGCTGGGAGATATATCATTTCAAGTAATCGACAACGAACATCATGTGGAGCCATCAGCTGATGAAGGTAATAATGTGGGATTTAGCTTTCCATAATGACACATTTTCAGCAAACACGTCATTTTTTCTCTTCTTTTTTTTTTCTTCCAAGAGAGAGAAACTGGATTCATTCTTTTTTGTAGCATTTTTTAAGGAACTGAATGTAACACCCCAATTTAGGGGCTAAAATTTAAGAAAATATAAATTGGTGGATTTAATTTGGTATTTTGAAAGAAATAAGGGATTAAATTGTAAGATTTCAAAGTTGACAGACCGTTTTAAGAAGTGCAGGAAGTTCAGTGGCTAAACTCTTGGTTTAGCCATTTTTAATTATGAGATGTTATAAACCCCCCAGACTCCCGTATGTTTCTGGAAAATTTTCCAGTTTTCCTCTCCCGTTCTCCCTACTTCCAACTCCGATCTACTCGCCGTCCGACCTCCAAACGACAAGCCGAAACAACCATCGTGTTCGTTGTCAACCGAGGAACAAAACCCCTCAAACCTTTCGTCGTGAATCATCGCCGTTCGTCGTGAATTTCAGTCGGAAGTATCGTCGGTAATAACTCGGTTTTAGTTGGTTTTTCATCGATTCACGACGATCGAGTCATCCGTTTACGACACCTCCCGAACCATCGTGTTCCTTGTGCCGTTCCGAGTCCACCGGGTGTTCTCCTTTTTCTCCGGCGGCGGCGGCGCGTTGGGAGGTGAACCGATCAAACTTCCCGATTTGTTGAAATCGAGCTCTCCGCCGTTCAAAATTGTGAACCGAGCTTTGTAAGTATCTCGAAATCGCTCAAAATAATTTTTAGAAATTTTTCCGAGATTTTATCACTGTTCACGCGCCCCCACGCGCCGCCACTGCGCGTGGGGAAGGGAAAAGTGACCGGTTTGACCGGTTTTGAAACTGTTTTGACCGGTTTGACCGGTCACAACCCGACCCGACCCGTTGACCCGACCCGACCCGTTTACCCGACCCGACCCGTTGACCCGACCCGACCCGTTGACCGTTGACCCGTTGACCGTTGACCCGTTGACCGTTGACCGGAGTTGACCACTGTTGACCAAAACTTTGACCGGCTTTGATCGGGCATTAAACAACCTTTGACTTCGACCGAGTATACCTATCCTGACATTTTTCGACGTTCCAAATCCGATTCCGCTGTCCGTTTTTCGAAATTCGAACCCGAAGGCCTCGAAATTGTCAGTCAAACCCGTTGACTTTGATTTTGACCGAAAATTCCAAATTTCTGAAAAGTCATATTTTATGCTTTCGACGTCCTGAATCCGAATCCGAAGTCCGTTTCACCAAATTCGAACCCGGTAAGCCGTCTTTCACTAATTTATCACCCGATTCGATCCGTTTATCGTAATTAAGCTCTGTTTCTGATATAATTTATGTTGATATGTATCTGAGGAATTATTGGAAGTTGAATTGAAGATCAAAGGCGTTCGAATGGAATTTTTATGGTCGATCAGTATTGCACAGAAATCGAGGTAATACTTTACTACCTCTTTATGCTTTATGGAACATGTTGATATTGGTAAATGCATGAATAAGATAATGTTGGTCACTTTTGTGGAGTTGAATAATTTATTCACTCGATATGAATGTGGTAGAAATTCTGTAACTGAATACGGATCGAATGACTAATATAAGAGATTGAAAGATTGTTAGAATTAAATTACTAGTTTGTGGATAGTGATAAAGAAATCAGACATGGATTTGTAAATTATATTTTATATCATCAAAGGTTAAATGTTAAAGGTACTTGGATGGGAAATTATGAGAATACTTCGGTATGGTAAAAATACGAAATTACCCTTATATTGGAAAATGATAAGAATTGTCCCTGGAAGTGGATTAATAAATCTGAAAAGACATATTGATATGATAAATATATGATGTGCATAAGAAATGATAGTTATACTTAGAAATTATGGATAACCGGTTTTTAACCCCAAGAGGGTTTATACAAGATACTAGAAGTGTGTTAAGGGAATTATTTCAAGATCAGAGAGTGTTCAAGAAAGCAATTAATCATAGGATCTCTAAATTATATTATTTTCGTTAAGAGCTAATATCAAACTTATCTGGTTAAGAAATTACGGAAATGCCCTTATGAGGTAGAATAGTCTGAGATGACTCTGAATGAGAAAATACTTAGAGGATTCGTACTTAACTCGATTAAGTATGGATTTAATTGTTAAGATCCCGACTTAGTGTAGGAAAATTCCTGATATTCCGTTTGTAAAGTCTGAGAAGACACTTGACCTGAAAATGTTCAAATAATGAGTAAATACTTGAAGAGTAATTTATCGGGGTATTCTGCTATCAGAATTGTTCGAACGGACTGGAATAGATAATAAATTGGAATTAAATAATAAATCGGATTGAGGAAAAAGATTGAAATACTGTGGATCTGTAAAATGACCAAAATACCCCTGTAATAGAAATGACCCAAGAATATCACCAAGCTCAGGAATGATTGGATATCCTCGAGCTCTGAAATGAATGAAATAAAACTGAACACCAAAATTACCAAAATACCCTTTTGGCCTATATTAAGTAAATGCCTTGGATTAATTAAGGAATCCAAATAAGCATAGGTATTGGACTACCTTTAAAAGTTATGGAACATAACTTAAGTGAGCCGATCAACCTTAATAATATGTCAGTACCTGAACGACATAGATATTACTTGAATTCGTGTTCGTCTTCTCAAGTTTGGCTCAATGATAAATTTTGGAAGTATTCAACTCAGCTCAACTCTAGATCGTATTCAGTATTAAGAATTGGACGTTTGTTCGACAATCAACCACGAAGACCAAATTGAATGGGATGGAAGTACAACATTTATCTGAAATTCAGGAACGTTTGAATTACTCTGGAAAATCCTGAAGTAACTGGAATGGAGATGACTGCTAAATGAAATAGGTAACCTCAATGACTGAGGATTTAGTAAGTGATTTGGACAAGTCTGGAAACTCTGATGAGTTTACGAAGTGTACAATTACAATGGGTTATGAACAAATTAATCAAGTACGTCAGCATTTCATGATATTGTGGAAGTGTGGAAATGAAATAAAGACATTGTAAGATCTATTCAACGATGATTCCGAAAATGGTCTATGGACAAGAATTGTGGTATTAAAGAGTAAATACCCTGGAAGAACAATGAATTGACCAATCGACAGGCATTAGCTCTGGGAACTATTCATGTAAGAGTTGTCTGATAATCCGATCAACCGACATAGAATATAAATGTCCTGAACCTTCATTTCTTCCTTATCAGCTCAAGTCACATTATGAATAACTGATGATTCTGTCAGTTATTGAACTCTTTCAATAGTGATTCTGAATTCCGATATTCTATCGGTATACTAAAGATCTGTGTTCCCCTACTTGTTAAGATTATCCAATATCTTTGAATACTATCTGTAAATTCTGGTGTGTTCCCTACTCACATGAATATTTTACCTGATTTTCGATTTGATTTCTGATCTGATACTTGACATGGATTCTGATCTGATATCTGACATGGATTCTGATCTGATACTTGACTTGGATTCTGATCTGTTACTTGACCTGATTTCTGATATGATACTTGACCTGATTTATATTTTGATTTTTGATATATCCGTTTACGGACGGACATATTTTACTTGGGGGGTAATATTGGAGGAAGTATACCTGGAGGCTCCTCGGCTATGTGCTCAGGGCCTTATTTACCGGTTCCTCGGCTGTGTGCTCAGGGCCAACTGGACTTGATGGTGGGTGTATGGTTCTGGGGAACCTACACAATTTGGACTTGTTGGATGGGGGTATATATATATATGTTTTAAAAAGATCTGAAAAGTTACATGGTTTTTGGGAACACACTAGAAAACCTGTTCTGATCTCCTGAACCTAGACATCCGAAATATTTCTATCTGAAATGAATATTATCTGTCACTACCTGCGATATCAATGAACCTCAGCTCAGCCAAAGAAATCTGTAAATATCGGAATCAATAAGGAAAATACGTTTATCTGTATCTGCATGTTCATCAGCATCTTCTGGTAGTTCTGTATTACTGAGCTTTCCAAGGCTCACTCTATTACTCACCTTTTCAGGTTAAAAGAATTGTACCAGTGCATCTATTGACTTCAGTAAGGGAGTTCGTTCGGCGTTGTTACAGAGTATGGTACATGTGATTAGGGGGCATGTAATTGTATTTTGATTTATATACGAGTTTGGAAATCTGTTTTATTTTTAAATAGTGAAAACTGATTTTATAAGTTTACATGTTCTGATAAAAAGTTTTTAATTTTCCACTATTTTTACAGTGGGTCGCTCCGGTGGCCCTAATGTGACTTCCCGGATCGGATCGGGCTACCCTTATCGGTCTGTGGGGGTTACATTTAGTGGTATCAGAGCTATGGTTTGAGTCAAAATTTTTCAAGATAGACCGGCCGGTCAAATGTCAAAATATGTATGATCAGTACATGCCCCTAGACTGCAATCGTACCTCTCTGAGCCGGAACTCCAGGGCTGAGTCCCTATCTGTATTGAGTAAACCAAAGTTTCTATCTGCTAAGGCTATACTTGTACAGAAAGGAATACCAGTAACATCTGTCTAAACGCTGTAAAGTATCTCATGAGCCATGTGAGAGTTATTCATCTGAGAATTTCTGACTCGACTCCGGAAATGAAATTGAGATATGTTGCTGCTCTACGAGCCTATTCACGTATCCAATGCTGAATTGATTTCACAAGAATAAAGTTGTTCTGATTATTTACTTGGACTGAGGGAGAATTCTGAAGAGATTGATTACTCGAGAAAATTTTAAATTCTTTTATTGAAATAAGGAAAATTTATGATAAGAATGTATGCTCAGCTGGTTAAGGATAAGTGAAGGAATCGTACTTTTATAAAAGCTATTGATAGATTTGAAAGAACTGATGGAAGTTTCATTTATGCAATTATGTGACATGAATTAATTTCGAGGACGAAATTTTTTTAAGGAGGGGAGAATTGTAACACCCCAATTTAGGGGCTAAAATTTAAGAAAATATAAATTGGTGGATTTAATTTGGTATTTTGAAAGAAATAAGGGATTAAATTGTAAGATTTCAAAGTTGACAGACCGTTTTAAGAAGTGCAGGAAGTTCAGTGGCTAAACTCTTGGTTTAGCCATTTTTAATTATGAGATGTTATAAACCCCCCAGACTCCCGTATGTTTCTGGAAAATTTTCCAGTTTTCCTCTCCCGTTCTCCCTACTTCCAACTCCGATCTACTCGCCGTCCGACCTCCAAACGACAAGCCGAAACAACCATCGTGTTCGTTGTCAACCGAGGAACAAAACCCCTCAAACCTTTCGTCGTGAATCATCGCCGTTCGTCGTGAATTTCAGTCGGAAGTATCGTCGGTAATAACTCGGTTTTAGTTGGTTTTTCATCGATTCACGACGATCGAGTCATCCGTTTACGACACCTCCCGAACCATCGTGTTCCTTGTGCCGTTCCGAGTCCACCGGTGTTCTCCTTTTTCTCCGGCGGCGGCGGCGCGTTGGGAGGTGAACCGATCAAACTTCCCGATTTGTTGAAATCGAGCTCTCCGCCGTTCAAAATTGTGAACCGAGCTTTGTAAGTATCTCGAAATCGCTCAAAATAATTTTTAGAAATTTTTCCGAGATTTTATCACTGTTCACGCGCCCCCACGCGCCGCCACTGCGCGTGGGGAAGGGAAAAGTGACCGGTTTGACCGGTTTTGAAACTGTTTTGACCGGTTTGACCGGTCACAACCCGACCCGACCCGTTGACCCGACCCGACCCGTTTACCCGACCCGACCCGTTGACCCAACCCGACCCGTTGACCGTTGACCCGTTGACCGTTGACCCGTTGACCGTTGACCGGAGTTGACCACTGTTGACCAAAACTTTGACCGGCTTTGATCGGGCATTAAACAACCTTTGACTTCGACCGAGTATACCTATCCTGACATTTTTCGACGTTCCAAATCCGATTCCGCTGTCCGTTTTTCGAAATTCGAACCCGAAGGCCTCGAAATTGTCAGTCAAACCCGTTGACTTTGATTTTGACCGAAAATTCCAAATTTCTGAAAAGTCATATTTTATGCTTTCGACGTCCTGAATCCGAATCCGAAGTCCGTTTCACCAAATTCGAACCCGGTAAGCCGTCTTTCACTAATTTATCACCCGATTCGATCCGTTTATCGTAATTAAGCTCTGTTTCTGATATAATTTATGTTGATATGTATCTGAGGAATTATTGGAAGTTGAATTGAAGATCAAAGGCGTTCGAATGGAATTTTTATGGTCGATCAGTATTGCACAGAAATCGAGGTAATACTTTACTACCTCTTTATGCTTTATGGAACATGTTGATATTGGTAAATGCATGAATAAGATAATGTTGGTCACTTTTGTGGAGTTGAATAATTTATTCACTCGATATGAATGTGGTAGAAATTCTGTAACTGAATACGGATCGAATGACTAATATAAGAGATTGAAAGATTGTTAGAATTAAATTACTAGTTTGTGGATAGTGATAAAGAAATCAGACATGGATTTGTAAATTATATTTATATCATCAAAGGTTAAATGTTAAAGGTACTTGGATGGGAAATTATGAGAATACTTCGGTATGGTAAAAATACGAAATTACCCTTATATTGGAAAATGATAAGAATTGTCCCTGGAAGTGGATTAATAAATCTGAAAAGACATATTGATATGATAAATATATTGATGTGCATAAGAAATGATAGTTATACTTAGAAATTATGGATAACCGGTTTTTAACCCCAAGAGGGTTTATACAAGATACTAGAAGTGTGTTAAGGGAATTATTTCAAGATCAGAGAGTGTTCAAGAAAGCAATTAATCATAGGATCTCTAAATTATATTATTTTCGTTAAGAGCTAATATCAAACTTATCTGGTTAAGAAATTACGGAAATGCCCTTATGAGGTAGAATAGTCTGAGATGACTCTGAATGAGAAAATACTTAGAGGATTCGTACTTAACTCGATTAAGTATGGATTTAATTGTTAAGATCCCGACTTAGTGTAGGAAAATTCCTGATATTCCGTTTGTAAAGTCTGAGAAGACACTTGACCTGAAAATGTTCAAATAATGAGTAAATACTTGAAGAGTAATTTATCGGGGGTATTCTGCTATCAGAATTGTTCGAACGGACTGGAATAGATAATAAATTGGAATTAAATAATAAGATCGGATTGAGGAAAAAGATTGAAATACTGTGGATCTGTAAAATGACCAAAATACCCCTGTAATAGAAATGACCCAAGAATATCACCAAGCTCAGGAATGATTGGATATCCTCGAGCTCTGAAATGAATGAAATAAAACTGAACACCAAAATTACCAAAATACCCTTTTGGCCTATATTAAGTAAATGCCTTGGATTAATTAAGGAATCCAAATAAGCATAGGTATTGGACTACCTTTAAAAGTTATGGAACATAACTTAAGTGAGCCGATCAACCTTAATAATATGTCAGTACCTGAACGACATAGATATTACTTGAATTCGTGTTCGTCTTCTCAAGTTTGGCTCAATGATAAATTTTGGAAGTATTCAACTCAGCTCAACTCTAGATCGTATTCAGTATTAAGAATTGGACGTTTGTTCGACAATCAACCACGAAGACCAAATTGAATGGGATGGAAGTACAACATTTATCTGAAATTCAGGAACGTTTGAATTACTCTGGAAAATCCTGAAGTAACTGGAATGGAGATGACTGCTAAATGAAATAGGTAACCTCAATGACTGAGGATTTAGTAAGTGATTTGGACAAGTCTGGAAACTCTGATGAGTTTACGAAGTGTACAATTACAATGGGTTATGAACAAATTAATCAAGTACGTCAGCATTTCATGATATTGTGGAAGTGTGGAAATGAAATAAAGACATTGTAAGATCTATTCAACGATGATTCCGAAAATGGTCTATGGACAAGAATTGTGGTATTAAAGAGTAAATACCCTGGAAGAACAATGAATTGACCAATCGACAGGCATTAGCTCTGGGAACTATTCATGTAAGAGTTGTCTGATAATCCGATCAACCGACATAGAATATAAATGTCCTGAACCTTCATTTCTTCCTTATCAGCTCAAGTCACATTATGAATAACTGATGATTCTGTCAGTTATTGAACTCTTTCAATAGTGATTCTGAATTCCGATATTCTATCGGTATACTAAAGATCTGTGTTCCCCTACTTGTTAAGATTATCCAATATCTTTGAATACTATCTGTAAATTCTGGTGTGTTCCCTACTCACATGAATATTTTACCTGATTTTCGATTTGATTTCTGATCTGATACTTGACATGGATTCTGATCTGATATCTGACATGGATTCTGATCTGATACTTGACTTGGATTCTGATCTGTTACTTGACCTGATTTCTGATATGATACTTGACCTGATTTATATTTTGATTTTTGATATATCCGTTTACGGACGGACATATTTTACTTGGGGGGTAATATTGGAGGAAGTATACCTGGAGGCTCCTCGGCTATGTGCTCAGGGCCTTATTTACCGGTTCCTCGGCTGTGTGCTCAGGGCCAACTGGACTTGATGGTGGGTGTATGGTTCTGGGGAACCTACACAATTTGGACTTGTTGGATGGGGGTATATATATATGTTTTAAAAAGATCTGAAAAGTTACATGGTTTTTGGGAACACACTAGAAAACCTGTTCTGATCTCCTGAACCTAGACATCCGAAATATTTCTATCTGAAATGAATATTATCTGTCACTACCTGCGATATCAATGAACCTCAGCTCAGCCAAAGAAATCTGTAAATATCGGAATCAATAAGGAAAATACGTTTATCTGTATCTGCATGTTCATCAGCATCTTCTGGTAGTTCTGTATTACTGAGCTTTCCAAGGCTCACTCTATTACTCACCTTTTCAGGTTAAAAGAATTGTACCAGTGCATCTATTGACTTCAGTAAGGGAGTTCGTTCGGCGTTGTTACAGAGTATGGTACATGTGATTAGGGGGCATGTAATTGTATTTTGATTTATATACGAGTTTGGAAATCTGTTTTATTTTTAAATAGTGAAAACTGATTTTATAAGTTTACATGTTCTGATAAAAAGTTTTTAATTTTCCACTATTTTTACAGTGGGTCGCTCCGGTGGCCCTAATGTGACTTCCCGGATCGGATCGGGCTACCCTTATCGGTCTGTGGGGGTTACACTGAATTTGCATAAGGCTCGTATAAAACAAAAATACACTGCCTGTAGTTAGCTTTTTGTTTAACTTGTAAGTTTAAGTGGGATTTCCCCCCCTGTTGCAGCTTTAACCAGTGCTGCCAGGCTTTTGGGTTGTGCAGCTCATGAATTGATGCAAGCTTTATCTACCCATAGAATCCCTGCTGCCAAGGATAATATTGCTAAGAAATCGACATTGCAACAGGTTCGTCCAGTATTTGTTGGCAAAATTATTCTTCCTCCATCATCTCATTAGTCACATGCTATGTGTGCTGTGATGCACAATTAACAACCTGATAATATGTTGGTTATAACTTGTAATATAGGCAATTGACACAAGAGATGCATTAGCAAAATTCATCTATGCAAGCTTGTTTGACTGGCTTGTGGAACAAATCAACAAGTCACTTGAAGTTGGTAAAAGATGTGTTGACAGGTCCATAAGCATCCTTGATATTTATGGGTTCGAGTCATTTAAGGTAAGTAGTTTCTAATTAGCTATTTAGATATTATAATTGTGTAGAAGTTTGTTCAACTTATGATTTTTGTCTTCCAACTTTCAGAAGAATAGTTTTGAACAGTTTTGTATTAATTATGCAAATGAGAGGTTGCAACAACATTTCATCCGACACCTTTTTAAACTTGAGCAAGAGGTAAGCAAATCAAATTTTAAGCTGGATTCCCCGTAATCAGCCTTATTTTCCTGGGCATGCAAATTTTTCATAAGAAGTTCTAACCTGGTTCACAGTTGTTGATTCTTATCTCTGGATTTGGTTTCCCTTCCTTAACACAAATTGTTATTTTGACCAACTTCCCATATTTTTTTTTAATTTCAGGAGTATGAGTTGGATGGGATTGATTGGGCCAAAGTTGATTTTGAAGACAACCAAGTGTGCTTGGACTTATTTGAGAAGGTAATTTGGTTCAATAGGTTCTTTGTCGGCAATTGGTGTTCTCTAAGGGTTTGTTGGTCTCTTTTCCCTATATATCATATAGCATGCAGTTCTTGCGTATGTTGTCTTAGCTTTGGTGCTGATGCTTGGTTTTATATTCTATGGTAGTATGGTTTTCTTTCTATTTAGAAATTTAGTCTTACTGAAGATTGTTTTAGCTTCGGTGCTGAATGCAGATGCTGGCTGGAGTTTTTATTTCCTTTTCATATTTTGTTTCGTTTGAAATCTGAATGTTATTCTTCTGTTTTGGTGTTTATTTTGCAGAAACCATTGGGAATACTTTCTTTGCTGGATGAGGAATCAAATTTCCAAAATGCAACTGATTTTACCCTTGCTAATAAGTTGAAGCAGCACCTGCATTCTAATTCTTACTTCAAAGGAGACAGAGGCAGGGCCTTTGGTGTTCGACATTTTGCAAGAGAGGTCAGTCACTGTACTTTTGAGGATTAAAAGGATTTTCTTTTCATTCAATTTCAGATGAAGATAACAAACCCTGAAATATGATTCAGAAAGTCTAAATTTTTTGAAAGGTTGAATTTGTTTTGATAGTTGATTCAAATGGTATGGAATACTAATAAGATGGTAATGTTCAAAGCATAGACGAAATTACTGATTTTTGGAGTTCTGCCAGGTACTGTATGATACTAATGGCTTTCTGGAAAAGAACCGAGATCCTCTGAACTCGGGGTTGGTCCAACTTCTGTCATCCTGTAGTGGCCAATTGCTACAATCATTTGCCAAAAAAATGCTTGATCAATCTCTGAAACCAGCGATTTCATCTGACGCTCCAGAGCAAAGTGTTGTTAAGAAGTTCAAGGTAAATTTGATTCCTTAATAGTTGTGATTATAACTGGTAGTTGTAATGTATTTTATGGTTCCCATCTCTATTGGAGAAACTTTCTTACATTGATCTCTGTTATAAAGCATTCCAGCATTTGCCAATCCTTCAAATATGATATTAGAGTATTTTTTTTATTCTTGCATGTCCTTTTTTCTTGGGTATTTGATATGTGAATTTACCTTTGAAATCTTTCCTTTGTCAGTGCAGGGGTAGCTAATATGGTAGTAGAAATATTGGTGTCTACTGCACAATGACACGCTTTGTGGATGATTATGTTTTTCTTCTGTACTTGCAGGGCCAACTTTTCGAACTAATGCACCAGTTAGAGAATACTACACCTCACTTCATTCGCTGCATAAAACCAAATTGCAAGCAGGTCTCTGACAAGTATGAAGAAGATGTTGTCCTGCAGCAACTTAGATATTGTGGAGTTTTGGAGGTTGTTAGAATCTCAAAATCAGGATATCCAACTCGAATGACACATCAGGAGTTTGCAGAAAGGTAGCGGCTAAAACCTTCTGTAGTTTATGGCTTGTTTTATGTTTTTTTAATTTTTTCTCTTTTGAGCATAGTTCTCATAAATTCAAGTATTTCATAGGTATTGGTTCCTACTGTCAGAGACCAATGCATCTCACGATCCATTAAGCATTTCAGTTGCTCTTCTAAAACAATTTAATGTCCTCCCTGAAATGTATCAAGTTGGCTATACGAAACTGTTTCTTCGAACCGGACAGGTAAGTTCTATACCCTTGTCTTGTTTTTCTTGTTTCTTTCAGTTTTTGTGCTGTACTTTCCAATATTGGGTACCTCTTTGCCCAAAGACTTCCAGTATAATTCTGTGGGAAATTAAAGCCTGAAATATCTCTTGATGCTGAGAGTTGGACCTTAAATTTAACATACTGAGTTTTGGAAATAGAGCTACCAACTTATTTCATTCTATTTATGTTAAATAAATGTAATAATTTCTTTGATTCTGTGTCTGGCATGCAGATCGGTGCATTGGAACATAAGAGAAAACAGGTGTTGCGAGGAGTAATTGGGGTTCAAAAATACTTCCGCGGTCACCGAGCTCGTTGCCTTTTCCTTGAGCTCAACAAAGGAGCAAAAAATATACAATCATGTAAGCAGCTTCTTCCAAGCAAATATTCTTTCCAATATATATTGGTACTGAGAGATCCTTTGCATGTTTTATAATTCTTAGTTGTCTTTTTTGGTCTTAAGTACACATGGCTTCATATATTTTGGTTTTGTGCAGGTCAGTTTAGACTTTAGACTTTAGTCTTTAAACATCATCCTCACCTTTTAACACTACAGAGGCTTGGTGTAAATTTATTTTTGTTTTTCTTAAGTTGATTCCTTTTCTAGATCTCTGGCCTTCTATATTTTGCCAATTCACATTTTTTATTATTTTCAATTGATCGACGGATATTTCCTTTGTGATGCAGTTGTTTGTGGTGAAAGTATCAGAAGGAAGTATGGTATTGAGGCAAATAGGTGCTCAGCATTTGCTCCTCAGTTAGTTGATGAGCAGTTGGCATCAGTTATATATTTACAATCTGGTAAATTCTGTGTTCTAACTAATTTTGTTTCTTTCAATTGTCTATTTTTCTCTTATCATTGTCATGTTTTCCTCCACTGCAGTAATCCGTGGGTGGTTAGTCCGGAGACATTTCGATAACATTCATAATTCAAAACAGTTGAACCATTTAAGCATAAAATCTAAACGAAAGACTGGTAGGAAGCTTTCTGAGGCAAAGGTATTCCCCACGGTTGACATGGTAACATACTAGAGTTTTTTCCCTTTCCTTTCCTTTCCCTTTCTTTTCTTTTAAAGATATTTTCCAAACCAGTTTTGTTCTCTCTTTTTTGCATGCCAAAGAGCATGTTTTACTTTCTCAATGTTCTCTATATGCTGAAAATATGAAGGATTTACTCGGACCCTATTTTTGGCTGACCAGGAAACACCACACGAGCAGCAGATTCAAGTTGTACCTTCTGTTATGTCAGAGCTTCAAAGAAGGGTACTCAAGGCAGAAGCAACTTTGGGGCAAAAAGAACAGGAAAACACCACTTTACGTGAGCAATTACAACAGTACGAGGCAAGGTGGTTGGATTACGAAGCAAAGATGAAATCAATGGAGGACATGTGGCAAAAGCAAATGGCATCGTTACAGGTGAGTTTGAATTAGGTGATTGTTGTTGACCAGCACAAAAGGTCCTCTTAGTTTCTGTCAGTGCATGGTTTAATTGTTTGATAATTGCAATTTATTGCAGACAAGTCTTGCTGCAGCCAGAAAGAGTCTTGCTGCTGACAGTACTGCTGGTCAGCTAGGAAGAGCTGATGTCGTATCACCTCGCCATTATGATTCTGAGGATAACGTGTCCATGGGATCTCGAACTCCTGGTGTGAAAACTCCTGTTGGGGTTAGAGAGAATGGCTCATTGAATGCAGTGGGAAATCTGCTAAAAGAATTTGATCAGAGGAAACAAGCTTTTGACGATGATGCAAAATCTTTGGTTGAAACCGGAACAGCACAACCAGTTTCTGATGTGAATCCTGATGATGAACTACGAAGGTTAAAACGCAGGTTCGAGACATGGAAGAAAGATTTCAAGATGAGACTAAAGGAAACAAAGGCAAGACTACATAAGCGTGGGCATCAAGAATCAGACAGAACTCGAAGAAAATGGTGGGAGAAATTAGGTTCAAGATCGTGATCGAATCCCACCTTGAAATGATCATCTTGATTGATCATAAAATTGTTGCTTAAATGACAACCAGTGTCCATTCTCGGGTACAGTTACATTTACTGCAACAAATAGAGTTGTTTTTTTTGTAGTCGACCCAGTGAGGGAGACATTGTGCTTGTATATCTTACCAATTTTTGTTACTCGGTGGGAGGAATTACCTTGTGCATAGACAAAATAGGAATTCGTCGTGTCGAGACAGCTCTTTGAGTTGTTCGATTTAGTTTATGTATATTCTGTTGTCAGTTGATGTAAGCTCCAACATTGTAGTTTTCGATATACAGATGAAATGTGTTCATATGCCTTTCCCTTAATTATTTTGTCAGAGAATCTGCAATTTCATTGTGTGTTCTCATCTTTGTTGAACCCTAAACCGAACTCAAACACGAGTTCCATTGAATTCTCGAGTAGATACGCTATTTAAATAATGTAGATGATACATATCTCTACGATTTAAATAACGTAGATGATACATATCTCTAATATCTCTAATCTTAACACAAGGAAGGAAATTATGGAACAAGTTCGATACGGGGCTATTAATTTACGATCCGGGCACAAACTTGGTAGCATAGATCCAAGCATTGTTGGCAACAGGGTTGTCAAGGTGATCCAAGAGGTTTTCCAGGGGACCTTTTCTGGTGACAATGGCTTGGACAAAGAAACCAAACATAGAGAACATGGCCAGCCTGCCATTCTTGATTTCTTTAAGTTCAGCAAACATGACAGGGTCATCAGCAAGACCAAGAGGGTCGAAGTATTGACCACCGGGATAAAGGTTGTTGCCTTCTCCAACACCGGGGAGACATGATATGGAAACCTTCGATGAGCCCCATGAGGACGACCTGGAAACCAAGGACGGCGAGAATGCTTTGAGCATGGACGAGGTTAGGGTTGCCTAGGTAGTCCAAGCCACCTTCTGAGAAGATTTGAGCTTCAGCCTTGAACCATACTGGTTCCTTGAAGTCCACCCTAACCCATTTCTCAAGGACTTCAGGTGTGATGCAGTCTAATGCTCCCAACATTGCCCTTCTTCCATGGATTACCTAGATAAGAACGAAACTCTTGTTTATTGGGCATTGAATTTAGTATTTTAAAAGGAAGCAAAAATAGCTGATGAGTATAAAATAAAAACGATAAACATAAAGTTACAAAAAAATCAAAATCGATTATAACAAAAAATAATTATGAAGAGCGTAATTTTTTTAGAATATATTGACTAAAATAAGTTGAAATAGAAAATATCACTATTTTCATAACAATTCGTGTAAATAATATAACTATTATGATTGTAACCTAAAAAGTTATCTTCAATACATTCTCGGTTGTAACCGAAATTATTATCAATTGTGTAATTTTTTAGAACAAACAAATAACATTTTAGATTAAAGCCGACTATAACGTATCATTCTCGGACTAATCAAAATAATTATCAATTATATAACTTTCTAAAACCTGTGACAAATTAACCTACCCAAAAACAGTTTGAAATTGGTAACAAGCTCACCTCAAGAGCTCTGTTCCTGGCAAAGGCTTCAGGGTCAGCTGACAAACCAGCAGTGTCCCATCCATAGTCACCAGGGAACTCACTGAAAAGGGTCCCAAGTACTTCACTCTGTCTAGTCCGTACCACAGTTCATTCCCCTACGCATTACATTACATTACATTACTCCCCAATGCAAAATTCAGTAAACAAGAGGACAAAAGGAGAGGGGAAACCCCAAAAAGCTTACCATTGAGTACTTGGAAGTGCCTACAGAGACGACATCCCTGAAAGGATTAACATTTTTGTTTTGGCCAAGAAAAGAGGTTGGCCTAAGGACAGTTCCTGAGCTAAGCATTGAAGCCATCGCCTCTCAGAATTGAAGGGGCAATGTTTTGTTTTTGGTTTATTTAGTTGAGTTTAGCTTGGCAAGGAAAATATGCATGGAAAGGGAAGTGGAAGTTATATATATTATATATATATATAGTAGAGAGAGAGATAACTGATTTTGGAGGTTTCAGGAGTCAGCCAATTAAAAGGCTGCAAAGGATTTGAAGTATCTCCAACTTTTATCCTTATATCCATACATTTTATCTTTTCCTTTTAAATTTTTTTTAGTCTGAGTTCATAAAATTTGATTCTAGTCGAATATAATTAAGATGTTTAATTTTCTATTCAAATTTAATAATAAATATTTAAAATATTATGATACTAACTGATTATACTTTAAACAACTTTTTATAATCATACACGATATACATATATATTTATTTATGTTATGTGATATATATAAATCATACAGAGTTGAAGGATTCAATTTGAATTTGAAAACTAACCTACTAATTATTAAAAAATTTGAATTATTTGAATCTTATATATAACTCAACTTGAATTTAAATTTTTTTAATCAAATCGAAATTTATACACCCTGCTAAAACTGATGGGAGCAATGGTTTAGGCTTTTGAACCTACGACTATACAGAAAAATAAAGACATATGCGACATCAAATACAAGACCTTTAAATCTTCGCTCTCCCAACTGACGTATCGCAGTCAAATTGTACTGAAATACACGACCTTTAAATCATCGCTCTTCCAGCTGACCTATCGCAGTCAAATTGTACTGAAATAATTTCATGCTGATTTTGTAGGTTGGTACATTCTTTAATTTTTCCTCCCTTCACATTTTCCTTTTTAATATCCGTGTATATTTTTTATAACGTTTATACAAAAACAATTTTTTATCTAAAGATCTAACAAGATGATTGTATCTTTTAAGTAATATCATGAATTTTAATTTTGATATTGTAAATGTAAAAGTTAAGTTGAAAAAATTAACTCAAAATAAATCTATATATCATCCGATCTAAAATAATCAGCCAACGAGTCAGCTATTGTGGTTGTACGAAAAAAATAATGTTTATGCAAAACTTTTGCCCGTGTAAACTTTGCAAAGAGGAAAAGTGAAAATCTGATCAGCTTTGATTATTTGCAAAGAACTGCTAATATCTTATGCCTCATATGATTAGCCAAATATTAACAAAGAAAAAAGCTTAATTATTACATAAGTACTAAAATGATTTACTAATAGTATAAAAAAGGAATTTATATAAATTTAAACTTGAAAGTAGTAGATACCAAATGAACTTACATTGTTGCTAATACATATACCAAGACACGAGGAAAATATAATACTCCTATATACGAATCTGGTGCGTACATCCTTTGTAATCTCGCAAGCAAAAGGTTTGTATAATGTAATAGGGCTATACAGTTCGTACCTAATTGCGCCTTGAAAACCATTTACATCTGAGGGCTGCTGCAGGATGGTTTTGCTTTTCGATTTCTCACCGTAGTCTTGTAGGTTGAAGGACGACGACAATTATCTTCTCAAAGATCCATAACGTTTTGTTGCCTACGAAACACGGAGGGACGGATTCAGACTGCAGTCATGGAATCCCAATGAATGATGCTAGGGATTTCTAGCACTAAGGGGAAACTAGTCTGATATTGCTGGAGGTATTGATACTGAATAAAAGGTAAAGATATAATTTGTTTTACTTAAATCTTGAGATTATAAACACGGTGAAGTTACGAGCGGAACCAGAATTCGGAACACTACTCGTAATTTAGAAGCAGCAGACTACAGAGGAAAATGTCCCAAAAGCCCGAGTAAAAAGGAGATAAATAGACAAACAAAAATATACATGCCAAGTTAACTGCAGAAAATGATTACAAAAGGAACAAATAGAACAATCACTAACCCGAGGTGGAGGCTTGTTAAATCTCGTCGTCGTTGTCGTCATCGTGCTTGCTCATGAACATTTTGTGAACCAAAGAGTCATCAGATTTCCGACCCCGCTTAGATGAAGATCCTCTATTTCTTCCCCTAGGAGTTGCTCTTTTGCGCCCTTTACCTTGAGCAATTTCATCATTTTCCTTCAAAAGATACAGAGCACTTATTTAGATTGTATTTACATTATTCTTGAAATTGTGATGACCAGGTACAGTCGCATAGAGAAGCAATAGAGCAGGAGCATGGGATTGAAATGAATCGACTGAGAGGCATTTCATACCGAACTGTTGTTAACCTCATTAATACCATGTTCTGCACTAGAAGCGGAGTTGATGTTCTCATCATCAGCAATGCTGTGGACTGAAGCTGATGCAGATCTGCATTAGTAAAATTACCCATGAGATTTAACTATTGATGCAAATTTCCATACGTTTAAGATACTTGCCAACAGGTTAGATCAAAGTGTCACCTTTGAGAATGGCGGAACCCCAAGGTCGAATCCAGAGTTGTCTGCTTTAAGCCACTAGATCCTCTGCCACTAGATCTGCCCCTTCCTCTAGTAGAACTTTACCTTTAACAAGTTCGGGAGCATCGCAAGATGATCGAGAAGCTGTCAATGACTCTTTCCGACCTATATTGGCAGAGCTTAATATCTGTGTTGTATCTTCATCATCGCTAAGGGAGGTTGCACTTACTATTCCAGTATCGTATTTACTCCTCGCATTCTATAATATTGGAGACCAAAAGTTTAGATGCAAAGAACGTTGTATAAGAAAACTTCATCAGCACTGAAAACAAATAGAAAGTGGAATATATCCAATCATTGTTGATCAGCACAGAGCAAATGTAAATTAAGATCACCTCAACGGACTGCACACTGGATGTGAACTGAAAAGTATCCTTAGGGTGTGAGGACCTTTCCTTGACACGTTCCTGCAAAATTAATAGATGAATTGAAGCATAGTGTATTTTGCCATCTACAGAAGGCACTATGGATGAACAATGGTCAACTTAGGAACATTTTTGCAATTGGGATATTTAGCATTAAAACTTTGTAGTAATTTTTATATCAATCAACTTGAAATGCTTGCCTCGAAGCACTCCCCAACTTTAATAATCAAGTCTTCCTCTTCAAAATTTGGAGCATCTGAATCTTTTCCAATTTTGTTCTGTCAATAAAAAGAGTGAAGAAATCACTGACACGAACAAAAATATGATGAAAAGAAAGAACTGTCAACTAATACATGCAATTGAGCAAACCATAAGATTATGTTATAAAACATCAGCCAAAAAGAATTTATAACAGGGACACCCAATTGACATAAAATTAAACAAGGATTAAAACAACACGAAGCCTTTCCCAAAATGCAAGGTCGTCTATATGAATCAGAGAAGCCATTTAGCTCTATTTAGGACCGCATCTCGAGTTAAAACAGTAAAAGTAAGTTCCTTAATAGTACTCTCTGAAAACATCTTCTTTCGTCCTCCCCTCCCCATTCTATCATTATGATTTTGCACTAATTTAAATGCATATTGGGTACCCTGTAAAATACTTACACGAGTTTCTTCGAGATTGTATTGCACACAGTTATAGAAAGCCAATTTGTCATCCTTATTAACAAAATTCTGAAGTGCAACATCCAAGTCATTGACTGGAAGGATCTCCATTTTCTGCAAGATAGACATGATAAAAAGGACCAGGTTAAAGGTGAATAAACTTCATTGTAAATATTTGATCCCTGTCATGCAAGTCCCATTTAGTTCGGTAACTGAAAGAAAACGGAAATCTGATACAGCTTTCGTATGCAGAAGCATTCAATCAATGCTTAGTTATTATGTCAAATTGAGTTTAGCATGGAAAATACATGGTGTTTTCAGTAAAAATATTTTCCATAGGAACAATATTCTAGATCATTATGCTTTTGGCATAGTACCCTCCGGGAGTACACTAAAATAAGCATTAATGCTATGTTTGGTTGGAGTGTTAATTTTCTTTACGTTTTAGCACACGAGTTAGCAATAAACTAACTTCACTAGGTCATTTTTTGTCACTCAAATGTATTAATTTGAACAAAGATAATGAATATATATTGCTTATTTTGAATAGGTATTAGTTCTTACATGAGTTTTTACTCAACTTCAAGTTTATATTTATACTATAAACTATTTTAAAACTCGAAACTTATGTAATAACTAAGTTTTCTCCTTGTGTTATGTACCAAAAGTGAAGTAAGTGATACAGGCAAAACAAAACAAAAAGGAAACATTGAATGCCAAGTTCAATTACCAGATTGTTTTCAGCAACTAATGCTTCTATATTCTGTTGATTCAGTTCTTCTAGACGAAGCATTTCAGAATCATCAATTTTGGCTACAATAAAAAGAAACTTAACTTTGTTGAAACCTTTCTTCTAGAAGCTAACATCAAACATATAAAATTAAGAAAACAAAAAGAGCTTTGATAATCCAGATGCTGTTGCAGAAACAAGCATATATGAAAAAGCAATATCTGATGGTCCTCAAAAGTGAAAATAAACTTCCAAGCCAACAGCTGTTCCAGTATATGTTAGCGAGTCTGCCCCAACAGCATTGTAATAGAATATTCCACTGCCCACCTATTCTTATCTTATTCTTCTATCCCCTCAAAAGAATTAGGGATTAATGTGATTAATTATATAAAGCAGAGGCTCATTTATCTCTGCAAGAGTGCTACCCATGTTCCAAACTGTCCAGTTAAATCTTTGGGAAACAGACTGTAGAGAAACTTGTTTGCAACCCATGTTCCAGACTGTAGAAAAACTTGTTAGCAGCTTTCAAAAATATAAGAATATCTTGAGGATATGCATCCTGCAAAAATTGAATATTAATTATTTAGTATCTGAATGAGAGAAATAAAAATATATATACAACTTATTCCTCAAACAGTATGAGCTATAGCCTCATTATACCTTCCCAACATACTTCTGTCCAAACCTTTTTGGATTTATTGTCATGAATCCAGAGTAATCCACCTATAATATTACACAAAGTATTGAAAAAGTTATATCCGGATGCAAAAGTCACCTTATCTCAAAGGTGAAACATGTCAAATGAATAAAATTTGGTACAAAAATCAGATTCCATAGTCGCATTAACATCATTCACAAAGCAGGGGCTGAAATCACCTTTACTCGGACGAATGGAAGCTTGGGCTCTGATCCACTGACAGTGTTCCTATTAGACTTCTCTATTAGATCACTGACCTAAAACGAAAGTTTAGTTATTAAGATAAAGACAAAGATTTGTTCTCACCATAGACACTTATAAAAATGTAATTGTTAGATGTCTCTTAGATAAAGTCGAAAACCATCTCATGCAAGAAAGAGACATGCCACTTTGTCCAAATGTTCAAGAATTGAGTTTTGATAGTTGGAATATTGTTTTAAAAGATGTTTTTAGGCATTCAACCTATATAATCCAAAGGTCGATGGTGATTTATTTTCAATTTAATCCAAATTAACTTTTTAATCTCTAATTTTCCAAAATAAGAATCGTTTTTTAAAATAATATTGAATTGTTTTCTTAAAAAAAATGGTTATGACAATGATGAGTGAAGGGGACATTCAATAATTTGTCGGTACATATATTATTGGCTTCTCTCCCACATCCCTATAGTTTCACTCTTCTCCTCCCCAATTATTATGTCCTTTCTGTGCCATATCTGCCTCTTAACAAATTTTCTGCTTCTTCAAAACCTCAGATGAAAATCTCTCACTAGTCCCAGAAAACCTTTCTTTCTTCTTCAATTCTCGATGGAGAACGAACGTGAGATTTCCTTTTCACGTGCAACTCACACGCAATATTTTACTGGTGACGATGAAGAAGAAAAGTTGGGAGATACAGAAGACGAAGAAGATTTGTTGGGAAATGAAGAAGAAGAGAGTTCGAGGGATAGTCGGAGGTTGTTGTTCACGTGCGGAGGCGGTTGCCGTCGCCGAACAACTTGGTCTCTGGGGCAAGTTTTCGACCCGAGAGCCAAATGGTTTCAGGAATGGAATAGGGTTTTCCGCCTCGTGTGCGCAACGGGTCTCTTCGTGGACCCGTTGTTCTTCTACGCCCTTTCGGTCAGCGAAACATGCATGTGCCTCTTCGTCGACGGGTGGTTCGCCATCACCGTGACGGCGCTTCGGTGCATGACCGACGCGTTGCACGTGTGGAACATGTGGTTGCAGCTCAAGATGATAAACCGATCGTCGGACGCCCGCCGCCATGATAAAAGAAGTGGAAGTGAGAACGAAGAGGAAAGAGATGGCAGAGGAGAAAGAAGCAACCGCCCTCGTGGCGGCGCGAGTGCTCGCCGCCGAGTGGCCTTCAAATACTTGAAAGCAAAGAAAGGATTCTTCTTTGATCTCTTTGTGATCCTACCTCTACCTCAGGTACATTCCACTCATTTCACAACATCGTCATAAATCACATTAATCAGTATCATTAACTAATATTAATTAGCAGCTAATAACCCATTAATCAATATGAGAGAGATTAAAATTTTACCATTTTTGTTTATGGTTTTAAAAGTTTACATTTTAGTGTTAGAAGAGATGACGAGTGCATGCCCTTAGTGATTCTGTTGCATGCAAAGGATACCCAGTGGACAGTGTAACAAACATGTGATGAAACCATGTCGTTTTTATATTTTTAGGAAGCGTATAATGGAAAGAGAAAAAATTTCAAAGGATTTCAGTCCATTGTAGTATTGCATTTGAAAATTGTTTTTTTCTTCTCTTCAAAAATTTATTTGAAGCAATAAGAAATATATTAACCAAGTAATTTTTTAATGAAAATTATTTTTAATGGACATGTAAATATTTAAAATTTTAGGTTTTCTGTTCAACATCTTTGTTAGACATTGATAATGCATACATAACATGCAGATGCACTTGCTTAAACTCATATCTTCATAAGAGGATAAAATTATCTTTTAATGACTCAATGGTTTCAGATAAAAAATATTTAAATTTATACAATTTCATGAAACATATACAATCATTATAAATTTATTTTTAATATAAAATATTTTATTATATTTGCATTATTTAATTTAATATATTTTATTAGTATAATATTAAAAATTAATATTATTTAAATATATATTTTTTAACTTATAACATCATTTCCTGCGTCCAGACATAAATACTAAACACTTGCATCTTAAACTAAACATTTTAAAAATATAATGATCACCTAACTTTTTAAGATAAATACTAAACTAGCCCTTATCATCTTTCTATTCTTATACTTTTTCATTTTAAATTCTTAATTTTTGGATCGTAATTTATTGGCCATTGATATAAAAGAGGTTTATTGATTAAGATGTTTCTTTAAAGGAGAATCCAATTATTTTTCTCCTTTTCTGTACAAAATTCCTTCTCTCTTCATTAGAGAAAAGATCGATATACGATTTTATTCTCTTCTTTTTTACTAGAAAACAAAAAACTAATTATTTTGTTTAATAATTATAAAGTAAAATAAAATATTTTAAAAAATGTGTACGTTAAGAAATATTTGCCGAACTAAAATTTATATAAACACACAAATATAAGCATGCTTTATAAATTATATATAGTACAATTGTATCGAATGCTAACGGACTAACATGATTTCACAATGCAATGAAGATTGTACTATGGGTTGCAATTCCATCTTTACTGGAGAAAGGATCAGTAACCCTAGTGACGACGGTGTTCCTCATCATCTTCCTCTTCCAATACCTTCCGAAGATATACCACTCCGTTTGCCTCCTACGCCGTCTGCAGAACCTTTCCGGCTACATCTTCGGAACCGTCTGGTGGGGAATCGCTCTCAACTTGATTGCTTATTTCGTCGCTTCACACGTAAGTTTTTACATAAGAAAAATGTATCTCATCAAAAATTTACCTATTTAATCGCGAAAACAATTAATATATAATAATCAAGGATGAATCAAAAAATATTGAAAAAATCGTATTCTAATAAAATTTAAACTCTCTAACATAAAATCCTGTGTATATTCTCGATAATCATCGATCCTCGGAAAAATAGAGGTAAATAGTATTCTTTGAAGTGATTGTGAAAAGGAATATTCTCAACAAAAACAAGAAGGTTAACTTTTTATATGATTCCCCCCTTTTTTTTTATAAGGTTTTGGAAAAGGTGTTTTTAGTGATCAAGACTTTTAGCAAATCCCTAATTAATTTTTGGCCTATTCCGAAAATGGGAAAAGGACTAGAGATAAAGTAAGTGAAAAATGTTCCGTAAAGGTGGAAAATCATAAATAATTATTTTTTCAATACCCTATTTTTCTATTCGTGATTCACGTGGGAGGAAAAACTTTAATTAAATATTGCAAATAGTGCACCTTTTGATATCTTTTACTTGGTTATAGGCAGTTCATGTCATTTTATATTAAAATATTCATTTCATTTAGGTACTCAATTATTTTAACATTTGCTACGGCTTATTTAGGATAATATTGAAAAAAAATTAAAATAAAAGAAATAGAGATAAAGATAAGTTATTTAAGAAAATATAATGAAACTTACAATATTTTTAAAACCGTTTAACAGATACGAGAGCTCTGTTGGGGTCCAAAGGGGCCTCGGCCCCTACGAAAGTTTTATATATTTGATACATTTTTATCTAATATTATTTTAGTTCTTGTAAAAATAATTATTCAAATAAAAAATATAAGAATTTATTAAACATTTAATTAAGTAGGTTCCATATTTTCAATTTTTTTGTCTAATAACAATTTAGGTCATTGTAAGTTTAAATATTAGACAAATTAGTCATTGTCTTCTGAATTTTGAGTTTAAATACCTAATAAGTCAATATAATTTTTTTGAAAAGTTTGATATTTTGATCTCTATCCATATTTAATCTTGACTCCGTCCCTGTCATTTAAGTACGATTTTATTAAAATCATCATTTGTTAATATGAAAAAACATGTGTCACGAAAGTTGTACGTAATTATCAATGACTTCCATGATAATTTTTTCTCAATGTTATTCTGATTGAACCTATATATGTTTATTTTTTACTTGTTTCATGTTTTCTCTTGAACGGACTCGGTGCATGAATAGGCGGTGGGGGCGTGTTGGTATTTGCTAGGGATTAAGAGATCGGCCAAGTGCCTGAAAGAGCAATGTAGAGGAATAGAGAATTGTGATATGAGATTATTGGCTTGCAAAGACCCAATTTACTACGGGACAAGAAGCATGATGAGGGATAGAGCAAGGCTGCTCTGGGCAGAAAACAAGCAAGCAAGAAGCATATGCATTGAAGGATCCGATAACTACGATTACGGAGCTTATAAATGGACCGTTCAGCTCGTCACCAATGAGAGTCGACTCGAGAAAATACTTTTCCCCATCTTCTGGGGTCTTATGACTCTCAGGTTTCGTTCTCTCAATCTTTTTTCAATTAATTATGGTCGAATTAATCATTCTTGAATAATAAAATGACCTTGGGCTGCACATGAATATATATATATTTGCTTCTTACCCTTCCTTTTGGGTGTGTAAATTATCAGCACATTTGGGAACTTGGAGAGCACAACAGAATGGCTAGAAGTTGTCTTCAACATCATTGTTCTTACCAGTGGACTTCTTCTCGTCACAATGTTGATCGGGAACATTAAGGTATTTACGGCCCATAAAAATAGGTTAAAATATATGACATGTCACTCAAATATTAATTTGGTTATATACAAGTTATTTTTAAAAGTCGTGATTTATTCACTCAATTAAAAATTGTTACAAATAGATCAATAACTATTAAATGTTAGATAGAATAGTAAAGTGGCTTGGTATAATAATAGTACATTTATTTCAATTTTATTGAGGGGATGATATGTTTATAACAATATTTTACTTGAATAACCAAATTATAATTTGTTTTAAAGAATGTAATCTATTTCCAACCGAACTAATAAGATAAGGACCTGAAATGTATTTTACCAAAAACAATAATAACAGGATTGATAGTGCAGCTGTAGTGGATGTAATACAAATTCCTACAGAAAAATGTCGGTTTTGACCAAAGCACATACCAAAATCCCTTAGGTTCCAGTGGAACCCATCAAACGATTCTATCTGTCTCCAACAAATTTTTTATAATTTTCATGTTCAGACATACATTTTGTCTTATACAAAAATCTGACATTTCTGCCACGTTTCATCCACTGGTACACCAATATGTTTTCTGCTTCTAACTACTTTTTTTTAATATAAAAATATAAAATATTATTGTGTTTATCTTTTCTGGTGTGGGTATGTTTAATGAAGGTGTTTCTGCATGCAACTACGTCCAAGAAACAAGCTATGCAATTGAAGATGAGGAACATCGAGTGGTGGATGAGGAAGAGGCGCTTGCCTTCAGGGTTCCGGCATAGGGTCCGTAATTACGAGCGGCAACGGTGGGCGGCGATGCGTGGTGTCGATGAATGCGAGATGATCAAAAATCTACCCGAGGGGCTCCGGAGGGATATCAAGTACCACCTTTGCTTGGATTTAGTTAGACAGGTAACTAATTTCACAAAGTAAAGATTAATTTTTTATAAACATTAATCCTAAATGAAATTGAAAATTGCCATAACTTTTTTGCACAAAATTCCATTTTTGATGGGCCAAAGAATCAAATTTTGAGAGATATTGAACCTTGTATATGAGACAATAAGTAAAAAAAATATTTAAATTATAAAAAGATTAAAGTCTTTTTTTTTATTAAAAAAAATGGCATGAATACAAATTAAAACCTTTTCTTTATGCATGCCCTTCAAATAAATTTTAAAATTTTAAATTATATGTCAACATATGCCTTTAACAAAGTTATATTTGTTTCAGGTACCATTGTTTCAACACATGGATGATTTGGTCCTAGAAAACATTTGTGATCGTGTTAAATCTTTAATTTTCACCAAGGGAGAAACTGTAAGTATCAATTTCTGTTTTGTAAAATTTTATTTGAGACAGTTGAGTATGTATAATATGTGTATCGGATAGGAATATTTTAAGAAAAAAAATCGGAATCATTGGCATGGATATTGCAGATAACTAGAGAAGGTGACCCGGTACAAAGAATGCTGTTTGTAGTTAGGGGACATCTCCAAAGCAGTCAAGTTCTAAGAGATGGTGTGAAAAGTTGCTGCATGTTAGGCCCCGGAAATTTTAGCGGTGACGAGCTCTTATCGTGGTGTCTTCGAAGGCCCTTAATTGAGAGGCTTCCGCCATCGTGTTCCACACTCGTAACACTCGAAACTACCGAGGCATTCAGCCTTGAAGCTGAAGACGTTAAATATGTCACGCAACATTTCCGCTACACATTCATTAACGAAAAGATCCAGATGAGTGCTCGATATTATTCTCCCGGGTGGCGGACATGGGCAGCAGTTGCGATTCAGTTGGCTTGGAGGCGGTACAAGCACCGGTTAACTCTCACGTCGTTGTCATTCATTCGGCCTCGAAGACCGTTATCGAGGAGTAATTCGTTAGGGGAGGACAGGCTCAGGCTTTATACAGCTATGTTGACTTCACCGAAGCCAAATCAAGAAGATTTTTATTTTTGAAAAAAGGTTTAAAACGAGGCTTCATGGAGTTCCGAAGGTCCGGTGTTTCGAGTTTGCATTTGTTCTGATATCATTTGTGATGATATGCAACCTGCTGCACGGTTTGAAGCATGGCTGCTGCTATGCAAGATGTTCATAGGAAAGGCCTTTCTTAGCTTAAGTTTTGAGTTGACACAGAGACTGAAGCTAAGTGAGGCTTTTTGTACTGCAATTTGTGAATTGTTACACTATTGGTAATATCATATTACTGATTTAAAGTAATTTTTTCCGTCTAAACATCAGAATATATTTCTAAAATGTAAAACTAACACCTCTGATCTTAGATTCCATGAACCAAACGCACTTCCACGATATTTGGTTCAATGTAATAAACCATATAGTCAAGGCATATGCAACCGAGCATAAAGAATGAGCTCAGTTTCTGCAACAGAAGAGACCTTAAAAAGCAAAATTGCAAGGTTGCCATCATTTAACTTCGAAAACCATATCTACTTGGTAGCCTCAGTGCGATCTCGGTAGCTTCAGTGACATCGAAAGAATCAAGGGTGAATGAACATGAATGAACAAACAAGTACAATTCAGCCCAGAATGGACATGAATGAACAAACAAGTACCAGCCCTGCATCTTCACGACAAGTTGCAAAAGATCATGACATGAATGAATATAAACAAGATAACCTGCGCAGCTGACCTACGAATCTATGATAGGGTGAGTTCCGGAAAAGGATGTCAGCAGCTGTTCGAAAGCCCTACATGCTGCCGGAGATTACTAATTGCCATGCAAGTAAATTTAAAACCACAACTCGTTCATGGTAAGACCAAGTGATCATTTAAAAAGAAAACAGAATAAGATACATAAATCACTTCAAACCAGAGCAAAATTCATTCTTGTTAATCTAAAATAGCAGTGTATAGTACAATCCTAGTGAATTCAATGGCTATAATCAAACATTTCAACAGAAACACAAGGTTAAACACATGTAACACATATATAAGCACTCCGACCTCAAAAAGTGGACGAATATGAAAATGCATTGTTCCTTGTATTTATTTCCATGACAAAAAAACACCCCATTATCTACAAGTAAGATGGCATTCCCTCCTCTAATGGCATGAGAACACACGGTTCTCCTCTACATGAACTCATCCGCCAACTCATCTCTTTACCTTCCCTCCTCTAAGGAGTCGCAAATTGAGGGATTCAACCAAAGAAAAAAAGCACTTACAGCCTAATCAAACAACACTTCATGTTGAATCTACCGCTTCAACTTGCTGACGTGCCAGGTATTTTTCCCTTCGCTCTTTCTGAAATCATCAAATATAAGTAAAGTCAGAAGGGAGAGAAGGAAAAAGGAACTTTGTTTCAGATATATAGACGGTTAATTACCCATTCATCAATTACAAGACCTTCGCCAACAACCCGGGGACCTGTTTCAATGGCGGGTTTCTTGCATGTTTCGAGAGCAGCCTCAGCTAACTGACACTTAAGTTTCTCCAATGCCTTAAGGAACAAGAGGAAAATTAAACCATTGAAAGGCGACCCATAAGGTGTAGAAAGCAAAACAATACTAATATAATTTGCCACTTACAGAGCTAGGCAACCCCACATCAAGAAATACAACCCGCAAATTCTTTCTACAGTCACTTGATCCCTTCGTTCATCAAACTATATAGCAGAAGGTGTAATAAAAAAAATTACGTGTTAGCATCAGCTTCTTAAGGTTAGCAGGGATTAACATCCAATAAAGGTACATGATCAAATTCTAATAAAAATAACACAACCAACAAGCACATTAGGCATTAAATGCAAAAAAAAGATTTGGAAACCTTAAAAGTCTATGGAACATATTAAAGGATCAATTTTACATGCTTACACCAGCTCTCATGGCATTCTACTGATGATCACAGCTTTTGCAAAGGTTTTTTTTTTTTGAAATAAAAGACTTTTGCAAAGGCTTATGAACGTTCATTATCAAATGGTTGAGTCTTTGGAACAGATACTACCTTGTATTCACCTCACACTAATAAAAAAAATTGTTTGTTAGTTAACATGAATGAACTCTATCTTATAACTACCTATCCAATTGATTGCTACTATAAAAGACATTTTTCTGCAGCAATTTGACTAAACTCATATTATAATGCCCTAACCAAAAAAGCTCTAATGCGACTAAACAAAACTATTTTTCCAAACTAGGCTCTGGTCCAGCAATGGTAAGAAGAAAATGGCAATATAATCATACTATTCGCTAAAGCAGTGTTTCATAACCACAATCTTCACGCATGTCAGCCAAATGAAAACAGAGAAACTTTACCAAGTAAAAAAAAACCCTTTAAGCAGATTTCGTCTTATCCGAATAAGAACAACCAACTAAAGCATCAACTTAACAAGCATTTTCCTTCAACACTTTCAAATATCCTAAATTTCCCGTTTAAATTCATCCGAGATCCACTGAGATTAATGAAATGCTAACAAAACAAGGGCCTCCACGGAACTGAACTTTAAGAGAAAAAACCAAATATAGAAGCATGAACATCAATGAAGTTACAAGCTCGGGCAAGTAATCCACTCCAGCTGTTACCTTCAAGCTCATTATCTTAAATTTAACTTTACTCTTTAAATCCACCCGCACCTCATCATTCTCCGGACGCTCTATAAATTTAAACACTGTAAAAACAAACAAACAAACAAACCAAGTCAAACAAAATTATTATAATAAAATTTCAAAACGAGCTGCAGTTTTTTATTACCAGTTGCGATAATTATTTCCCCTGGCGCCAAAATGCCACCAGGTGGACGCATAAAACAACTCTTCGGCGCAGTAGTCTGAAACTACAAAATAATAAATAAAAAAGTGAACTAAATAAATAAACAGCCAGATTCAACGAAATTATCAAATGTTATTATATTAACGGTAAAATTTAGTAACTTAAGGAATTAACCGTTAGAACCGTAGCATTTATGAGCCTCATTAAAAACCTCCCTAATCTAATTGGAGGAAAAGAGTGCTACATAAGAGAACATACAACCAAAACAAACCAAAAACGAAAATCAGGCCAACAAAGGCAACTTAAACGATCAAATACAAATCCTACCGAACTAAATCAGATCCAACCGACCAAACATAACAAAAAATCCATCCAACTCCAAGCACATCTCAATTTCAACCGACGAGGCTACATCTACTACATCAGCGCAACCAGAGATTTTGAGCACCCGCGACGTAAGATCGACACATAGACAGCAGAAACGATCCAAAAGCTTCAAAGCTGACGACCATAAGAGATATTTGGTGAAGAGATCGTTACCGGGCTAAAAACAAGAGGCCACCGAACAGAAGATCCTACAAATTGCTTGATAACTCGGTACCAAAGAGAACCGTAGCATTAAACCTCGTTTGAATGGAATATGAGAATTTAACCAAAATTAGCATATCAATTCATTGACAAATCATGACTTTAAATAAAAGAATCGCGTAAATTACAGTAAATTTTGGCATAAAAGACGAGAAGTAAAAGATTAGTAACTCAATTTTACCTTGAAAGCTACGTGAGATTTACTAGTGTTCTTCAACCTGATCGCACTTCTCGCCTGAGTTCCAGGCTCATCTACAGTTAGAAAATACATATTGAGAAATTAAAAAGGATATAGAAATTTAGCTCTACGAAGTCAAAGGCTAAGCAAAGCGGGGATTAGTACAAGGGAAATAGAGGTTATTAGAAGGATCCAGACGAAGACGGCGCCGAGGAGAAAGAAGCGATCTGGCAATGGAAGAAACAGTTTTGGATAACTTGACGGGCATCGTCTCCTAATGGTGGCTGCCATTGTGGTTGAGATTTCTACTCGAAGAAGAAGACGAAGAGTTGTTCGTCGTCGACGAAGTTTGCCAAAGGGAGCAGAGACCGGACATCTTCCTTTCGGAACTCAGCTGCTCTCGGTCGATGATCGCCAGTGCCGCCGTTAAGTCAGCCGTCGACTGTGGCGGTAAAATTATCTCTCTTCCATCGGTACTAAAAAAGAAATTAAAAAAAAATATAAACGTAGGAAATGAATTTTAATAAAAAAAAAAGTTTTTTTTAATATTGATATTTTTTGGTCTGTGGATTTTAAGCGTGCAAAATGGCTACATTCCCGGCGAATTTAAACTCAGGTCGGATTTGATATCTTTATCTAACTGTAATTAATTGCTGCTTCGATTCCGTCGCTGACGTGAATGTACCTCTGGGGCATTCACGTAATTAAGACGGAGTTTCAAGGGTAATCTTCACATCAAACTACAAACGTTTTAAGGGGTAATATAGTCAATACAAATTCCATTTTATGAAGGTCACTAATTAAAATAGGTGCATTTACAAAGGTCGGCTTGTTTGTTGGAGGGTTAGTTGGAACGTAAGGAATTGATTCGGTGAATTAAAATTAATGGATTAAAGATGACTTTTATCTCTATAGTAAATTTAATTTATTATTTTTATTCATATCATATTTTTGGACAAATTCCACGAGATAATACTCTTTAAAAAAAATTCACGAGATAATGCTCTCGTCAGATTAATTGTCAAATTAATTGCTAAGATATAGTTATCACGTAGGTCGCCAGGTGTTCCGGACGACATAGGGGAGCTGCTGAAGTCGTCATGCTTTCCACGCGAGTTGTTGAAAGTCGACATGCAAGCCCAGCGTTGTTCTGCAAGGCAAATTTGGAGGTCGCCATGCACTCCCACCACCAACGGAGAAAACGAGGGATCAAAGTTTTGGAGCCTTAGAACCCTAAAGAGAAAAAAGAGAGAGACAGTGCCAGTGATGAGATGTGAATATAGTAATCAGATTAATGAATGTTTCCTCCTATTTTTCAAAGATTCTCCTACGCAAATCCACAAAACGCCAAGCATCAAATGTGTTAAATGCCTGATTTTTCACTTAATATAATAATATGAGTGGGTGGTGAGAGTAGAAAAATTGTAAATTTTGGAGCATTTCCATGCAAATAATATATGTGTTTTACTCTGCTCCCATGCAACGTGAGAGCATTATATTAAAATTTAAAATATTATGGTTCACTTAGTTTTCAAAAGGATGTTTTTTT